AGAGAGAAAGAGAGAAGAGAAAATTCTGGTTCGAACTGAAAGAGTCAACCTCACTTCTCCCAGTCGGCCAGTAAGTATTTATATTATTATTAAAACATGACTGAAAAGACCTATGTGCCCTTACTTAAGAGCACATGTTTCAACACAACATTACGAATCAGCAACATCAATCAAGGTATAAAGACAGAAATACCCCTACGCTAACATGCCTTTAACCTTGTCCACTCTGGGAGACCAAATTCAAATCAGATTTGAATCTAGTAACCTCCTGATAAGATCAGGAGTAAGCTAACCTAATCTGCAGATAGGATTAAGATCATCCCCTATCCAAATATTGATTTGGATTGGGATAACTCCTCCTTAGAAGGTTTCTTAATCAAGAAGGAAAAAGGAGAAACCCCAAGAGAACAAGATCAGAATTCGAACATAGGGTTTGTGTGCAAGAAATCATCCTGCGAATTGAGATTGGATTTCATACACACTACAGAGAGAAGAGAAGCAATTTCAGCCATCCTCATCTCAGGAGTTCTCCTCCAGCCGTCGCCATTTTTCTGACAAGATTTGATCTTTGAAGGAAAGAAATCAAGAAATCAGTTCTTGATATCAGTTTTGCAGAAAGAACTGCAAAGATTTTGTGCTCAGAGTTTCCAGAGGATTCTTGCGAAGGATTCAGTGTGTAGGACGCACTCTGCTGATTCCGTTCCACATACAGCTGTGTCATCTTAAGCAGAAGCGGATCTTGGTGTCCTCTTTGGGCGTGAACACCAATTTTGGGAGATACTGCTTCTCTAGATCAGGTATAATTCCTCCCTTGTCTTTGGTTTAGATCTGGTTCGATTATGGTTCAAGTAGGATCCTTGAATATTGTATTCTTAAATTAGGGAATACGATTCCTAGTTGGAAGAAGGTAGGAAAGTTTTGAAATTCACCCACCCATTCCGCAATCTTTATGGCGTCCATACGATGGATCCTACCATTCTTTCAAAGGGATCTTTTAGTATGACTTCCTATCAAGAGGTTACCTTCTGGCCTAGGAAAATTTTGTGAGGTGGTTCTTTGCATGTACAGGAAGGTTTGGCACTTCACCGAGGAGAGAACGACGAGTTGACTTGGCTGGAAGAGCAGGAGACTCAGTCATCTTCTCCACTTCTACTGAGGCATAAAACCAGACTTTTCTATCCAGAAGAGGGATCGATCGAGGGATTGAATAAACTCCACGACTCTTCACTTTTATGCAAGCAAAGTTCAGGGCTTGAAGATTTGTTGTTTTTCTGTTGATCTCCACGGGACCTCCACACAAGTTTCCGATTAGGGTAAACACTTCTTCGGTCCAAAGATGGAAGGGAAGCCATGTATTTTTACCCATCCAAGGAAGTTTAGTCGATCTGGAGCAGCATTTGCCATCGGAACCCAACGATCTAGACAAACTGGTTTTCCAAACAGAAGAAATTTTTCTAAATTGACCCACCTTAGGACTAGCTCCTCAAAAGGGGCAAAACCCACCGCTTTGTTGGTATCAAATGGAAAGAGACTTGAGATCTCATTAGCATGAAGATTTTCCAAGAGACCTAACTCAACTTCTCTCCACGACAAGGAGTCTGGTTTAGAGCAGACAAACACCTGTTTCCAGTTTCTGAATGGTTTATCTTGGTGTGCCACTGAGATGAAGGTGGAACCTCTAGCTTTTATGATTTTACTTTTTTTCTCGAGTTGGGGGAAATGTTCATGGTGGGGTTGAGTGGGTTAGGAATCTCTTTTGAGGGATGTAAGCGTTTAACAAATTGGCAAAGTTTTCCCAGCCTTCGTTAGAAGGTTTTTCTGGAATACAGATGTTTCTCTACTTGACAGAATTTTCCCAGCAGCTCAGCCAAATAAACCTACCCCATTTGTTCTCTTTTTGATGAAGGATTAGAACTCTTCCCTTTTCTTTTTGTTTCTTGTCCAGGAGTGGTCGTCTCTGATTTTTGACAACCCTTAGAATGAAATTCTCCACCACTTTACTTCTTTCCAAGGAAAGGACTAGCTTTGTCCGAGAACCTCTGCACCTTTCTGTCACCTCGAGCAGTTCCTCTTTGTCACCTGAGAGTAGTTCCATGTCAAAGGTCTTTTGGCCGATTGAACCTACTATTTTCCTGTTCCTCATCTTCATTCTCTATTCCTCATCCTCTGTTCCTCAATCAACATAGCTAAACCAAAGTTGAAATTTCATAGAAATATCCTTACACATTTCTCTGTTGACAACTTCATTTCCCTAAGCTCCTCAAGCTAAAATTGGTGGAGTTATGCTCTCCTTTTCTTTAAAAAATTGTTTCTATCTTCTATGATAGAAAAAAAAAATTAAATTAGTTTATGGTTATGTAAAGAAAATAGTAGTTTTGTGTAGAGCTGATCTCTTTGTTCTTTGTAGAAACAAAATGATACTTTCATGAAGTTCCCAGTGTATGTTGATAGATTTTGTTTATTTGGATGTAGTTTAACTCTGGTGATCTTTGCAACAGTGTTGTTATGTGTTCTTGTATATTATCTGCTTATACTTGAGACTATTTAATGCTTTTGTTAGACTATTCTTTTCTAATTTTTTAGGTTGACACTAGCATTCTATTTGTGTCTGTTAGATACATATCTCTTACCTTATATTTAATGCTAGTTTCTCTCTTGAATCTTAATGATTTTACTGTGAAACAGCAAAAGGTTACGCCCTACAATTCGTGATATTATCACATCAAAAATAAAAGCACATGCTCTGACTATAAGTTCATCAAGCTCTGGTGTTTCCCACAGTGCTGGAACTGTTAATTCAGGCTTACATTACTTGAAAGAACAGTTGGAAAGCTACCCATTACAGAAACAGAAGCATCAAAATGGAACATTGGAGGCTGCAAAGCTCTTGGCGGTTAGTCCAGTCTCACCGGCAATGGCTCCTACAGGAGCAGCACAGGCTGCAGCCAAAGAACTTCTTGACTCAATATTAGACATTATCATTCGGATTCTTGGTGAGATATTATGACATGATTTTGCACCAACTTTAATTCATTTTTTGTGAACTAATCTTTACTACTGTAAAATGTTCAGAGAACCATGTTATTGTTGGTGAGCTTTTGGAATCCAAATCGGCACAACATAGTGACACAACCACTCAGGATTCACTAACTGGAGACATGAACTGGAACCCTGATTCTGAAACATCCCAAATCACTGGGGGGTACAGCGTTGGGTCTTCCCTGACTGTGTTGCAGGTATCTTGTCCGCCTTAAGTTTTTCACTGTATTTCTTTCTCCTGAATTGGAAGTTTATTGAGTTCATGTTCCTTTTTTACTCTCTAAATTTTATGTATTTATTTTGCACGAAAGAGTGAATGCCAGCAACTCATATGTGAGATTCTGAGAGCAACTCCGGAGGCTGCATCTGCAGATGCTTCTGCACAAACAGCTAGGCTTGCAAACAAAGTTCCTTCTAAAGATAAGAGGCAAGTCTTAACTATCAAATTCTTATAGAAAATAGTTGACAGTAGCCAATGATATCAGATCTGTATTCTGTAAGAAAAAACAGCAGAAAGGTGAAAAAAGATAGAGAGGATGAAGAAAGGAGTGCAGGTTCTGATGGTCCTGCCACCCCAATGAGTTGGTTTTTATATTAATCAAATAAAAGAGTACAGAGAGAGGAATACCCCAGCTGTCTATATAAGAGAGAGCACTAACAAATAATAATAAATCATTAACAGAAAAAATAACAAGTAGTGGGACCACACACTAAATAACTGTATCTCTACACTCTCCCTCAAGTTGGGAGTAGATATTCATCATTCCCAACTCATATGGATATTCATCACTCCCAATCGTCCTCTGAGATTTCAGGTCCTGAAAAACACGAGTAGGAAAAAAGGTTATGCTACAGTTCATGGATTTAGTCAAGCTACTAACAGATGAAAGGTTGGTATTTGAGCTTGGGGACATGAAGAACAAAGGATAAGACAAAAGTGTCAGAGGCTTTGATATCTCCTTTGCCAGAGATGGGAGCAAGAGACTCATCAGCAAGGGATATCTTCTCTCTACTCGAAAGGAGTTGATATGAACAAAAGATGTTAGATATACTAGTCATATGGTCTGATGCACCACAATTAATAATCCAGGGGATTTTATGATTACATGAAACAATAGCATGATTTGCAGAAGCACAAGTACCTAAGTGAGCAAATGTAGATGATGAGGTGTTGCCTGAAGGGTTGGATGCTGAAACAGTGGTCTCCAAGTGATTAAGTAACCTCCCATACTTTTCAAATTCTGCTTTTATTGCTGCCAGCTGCTTCGTAGCTGAATTTTTTTCACTTTCTCTATTTCCACCCTTAGGCACTATGGCAACATTAGCATTCTTAGGCTTCCTAGTCTAACCATTCTTCTTAAAGTTGTTATTGTTGTTGCTCTGAAACCTATCCGGTAGAAGATATGGATGAAGTTTCCAACAAGTGTCCTTAGTATGCTTCGGTTTCTTGCAATATTCACATATCATTTCTTTCTTCTCAGTCAGCCCTTTTGGCTTTATTCCAACATGTGCAAAGTGTTTGCAGGTGGTCCATTAACTGTACTTTCCGCCTACTCTCTTCACTACTTACCATAACATATGATTGAGAAAGAGTGACCTCATCTTTGGCCTGTAATGTCGAACTCAGGGTTGAGTCCTGTGAGAAACTCAAACACCTTGTTTCGTTCCACCAATTTTCTAAATGTCTCTACATCTTTAGTACTCTCCCATACAATTGTCTCCATAACATTAATTTCTTGCCATAGTGACTTCAACATGGAGTAGTAAACTGCTACATTCTTCTCCACCTGTCTAAGATTGTTCACATCACTCTTCAATTTATAGGCTCTCACAACATTTAACTTCTGTGAATATGTTTCTATAATACTGTTCCAAATCTCCTTGGTTGAAGCCATCCAGAGGTAATGCTGACTTATATGGGTTGCACAGAGTTGACTAACCATCCAATCACTATGTAGTTCTCTTGCATCATTCTCTCATATGGGTTTGTCTCTACAGGTTTCTCCATACTACCTATGAGAACTTTACCTTTACTACAAACATAAATTTGTATAAATTGTGCCTAGGCTAGATAATTGGTTCCATCCAAGGTTCAAAGTATCGATATGATACTGCGAAACGCGTATCGTATCGGTACTTAGAAACACCCGAAACTCTATTTTTTCTAATTTTTTTTTCAAAGTTTGGTTTTTTAGGAAGCTAAAAACATGTTTTTTTAATTAAAAAAAGTTGGGGTTCCGAAACACCTAGAAACAAGCATTTCGGATCGTATAGTTTTCAAAAGATACGATACAATACGCCCGGGGAGTATTGTATCGGTACTTTAAACCATGGTTCCATCTAGTTTAATTGTGGTCACTCTAATAAAAAAGGAATCTACTGGACCAATCCCAGATAACAGCATTTGCTTCATTTCACTTCCAAATTGCTCCATTGATCAAACAAAAATAAAAAACTAGTTTTTTAGTCTTTATAGACCTAACTGAGGTCAGTCCTGTACCAAGAGATTCAAAAACTAGGGTTTCACTGCACCTAGCTATCGGAGAGAAAGAGATAGGAGGTAGCCGCTCCTACCAAAGCTGCCTAACCTTCTTCAAATCTCAAGCGCACACTTTTGGGGATCAAAATAAACCTCTCAAACCCCAAGCGCCACACCCAATCCTTCTCCTTAATTTGTAACTTGAAAACTCTCTAGTTGGCTAGGGTTTTGGGCAGAAAAATAACAGCTTCACATCTTGGCAATCTCCGGCCAGATTCTAACTCTCCAAACCCTCGACCAACTAGGCAAACAGTCCTCTGATTGATTAGGAACTTATCTCTCCATACACTCTTTTAATCAAAGGGTGTATGGAAAAAAGGAAAAACAAAAAAGATGAACTGCTTTAGTACAAAGATGTAATTTTGTCCTTCAAATCTGATGGAAATATACTGATTATAGCAGTATATTTCTGAATTAATTAGGCTAATTACATGAGAAGAGAGTTCAATAGATTCCTCTCTCCCTTCACTTAATCTGAATTAATTAGGCTAATTACATGTTGTTTGTCCTGTAGCTATAGTAGTTCGAACCAGGAGAAGAGCAGAAGAAGAAGAGAACAGTCGAACCTGATAGACTAAACCCTATCAGTCGACCCTTAATATGGATTAGCCTCTAATTAGTAGTACAAAGACTAAACTGCCCCCACTTAAGTATGGGATAGGAAGTCTCTATTAAAACTGCCACATAAGCACAAAACTTAACAAAAATAAAATGACTAATCTACCCTTATTCGGCTAG